ATTTTTTAACGTCTTTTGGTATGACGCGGCCGGGGTTTGAACCCACGACCTCCCGGTTGTGAGGCGGACGCTCTACTGACTGAGCCAACACTCCGGTATATAAATATATCCCCAAAACGACAATTTATCAGAAAACACTGAGAATTTAAAAGTATAACTTTTCATCAATGGCAATGTATCACCAATGACATCATACGGTGAATACTATTTTGTTTGGCAAACGTTGAATTTGGACTGGTCTGTTCTATTAAAGATGGCCAAAGGGAACCCAAACATGACGAATCGTCACGTCGTCATGTCCCATATCCTTTGCCATTTTGTGAAATTATATTATCATTTGCAGGGAGAATTAAACGAGGATGTGATAACCAACACCAAGTCCATGCCTTGACAAACAGAAAATGATTAAGCAAAGTAGTCCCACAGAAAATGTTATTATTTTTTCGAAACCTTTTTCCTGTTTTCATCATGATTGATTTTGTTTAAATGAACAAATAATGAACTTGCTGAACTTTATTGTTAAATTTTACAGCTCATAAGGATTCTATCAAAAATATCTCACATACATTGTCCTTGTCATTTCAAGCTTGAAGATATTCTTTTGGTGGATAATACGACTAAACTGAAAACATCTCTCGAAACACTGACACGAATGGGGCTTAAATACCCACTAGAAAACTTTTTTTGAATTAATTTCCATTGTTTGTTCATTTTCACCGTTGTTTTGGTAAACCTCTGAGATAGCCTTGGAAGGCGTTTACCCTTGTTATCAACAATGCTATGACTAACAACTATATTTGTGGACTCTGTAGGCTAGAGTGGTTTATACATTTCTTTTCAGTTCATTTTCTTCATTCTGTAGCTCCATCTAAACTGGTTTTCTTTCAGGCTCGTCACCCCTTTGACAGTTCCAAACAATAGTGTTTACAAGCTCGAAGCAACAATGGCCCGTCACGCATCTTTGCAAATTCAAGGATAACCTCACTTTTGATGGAGTTCAAATTGTTTGATTAAACATCGTTTTTATTTTATTTTTGCAAAGTTTATTGCCTATATAAATCAGACATTTCATGATATCTACTCATCAGATCATTGTAAAAGTTTACGACATTTTTCAATCGCGTCCAAAGGACTAATGCATATAAGTTTTACTACATGTTTGCGGGAAAGTCTTCCTCTCATTTATTATTCATGTTAACGACATAGAAAGAAACTACGGGTGTTCCAAAGAATAAAATACAATTCAAATAGGGCTGTTAAATGGGTTGGGGGTCTACTCGTTTTTTTTCTCAACCATATACAGTATTATTGCAAGATTTTGAGATATAAAGACATTAAGACCTCCTGTAAAAAAAACGTCCCGGCTGATGATGATTAGCCTTCAAACTAAGGGTATGAAAACAAAACAAGATGAAAGAAAGTAAGATATATTTTATCATGTATTAGTTATAGAAAACAACAGTCACCACCCTTATACTTGGATCACGTTTGCACTGCACAGGGGCATAGGCGGATCCCAAAGAGTGAGGAGGGGTGGGTGGTGGTTGGGGGGGGGGGGGGGGGGGAGGTAATCTGTATTTTTGCCCCTGTCTCCTCCTGTCATTTTCAGGAGGATGGAGACCACCAAAATATACTGTGCATCATAGAAACAATGATAACGAACAGGTATAAAAAAAAATTATTAAAAAAAAAAAAAAAAAAATTAATAAGATTCCATGATTCTGCAAAATGTTTTCTAAAGTGGAGAAAAATATTTCCTATATTTTTGTTATTCCTCGATTGGGGTAGAGGGGCCTCACCTGGTGGACTTCAACTTCTCACGCTTCGGGTAGATGTACTTCCATCATTACTACCTGCATTTATCCATGTTATTGCATACCACCCTTTCGGGTTAACACAACTCTCGTAAGAGCAAAAACATGTTTTTCCTCAACACCAGTACCTTCGCAAAGTCATGATATGCGGTTGTTATCATATCTGTACACAATTCTATAACCGTTGTTCATGGAGCTGTTAAAATAAATGAAAAGAATGATCGAAGTCGGTGTAGTTTCTCACGATTATTGCTTTGTAAAGGACGGAGCCGTGATATCAAAACTGTTTATCCATTTGTTCTGAAGGTCACCTTCATACGAGCTTCCCAGATTGAGAAAGACGAGTCCCTCTTACAATAAGTCATGTTTGGAGTAAAAATATCAGGAGAATGTTTACTATCTTATCCCTTAACCACTTTTCCTGAGTTTCTTCAACTTCGTGAGAAAATAAAATGGATCATTAGGGTTAATGTTTGATCAGTTGCTATGTCGGGATGTACATAATATTACATAATATTGATAAATATTGGTAGGCTGGAGTAGAAATTTCAAGAGAATGTTCATTATCTTATCTCTTAAGCACTTTCCCTGAGTTTCTTCAACTTCATCAGAAAACAATATGGATCATTGGGGTGAATGTTTGATCAGTTGCTATGTCGGGATGTACATAATATTGATAAATAATTGAGTTTAATCAGGGAGACCTCATCCGCATCAGGAGGGATCAGCAGTTATTACTACCTCAGCAATTGCCAGGTACCTATTTACACCTGGGTGGAGAGTGGCAAATGTGGATTAATGTCTTGCCAAAAGACGTTAGTGTCTTGCTAGGATTCGAACCCTAAATAAAACCCTTTGACAGATAATCAAGTGCATGAACCATGGTTGTTTCATTTCCAGAACATTTAATTACTCCCTACGATTTCTTTTGCTTGTTAGGACTTGCCCATCAGGGAAAGGTCTTAAATTGTAGGAATTTTACTAAGAAAATTGTATTAAATGTCAATATTATACCTGTACTTGTATAATCACTTTTTTCATTCTAATATTTTGTCATAATATTTTAATATTATGCAATAAAATACATTTTATCAGCTTTTGAAATTTACAGTCTTTTTATTCGTTCTTTTTCGTATTTTCAAAAAAAGGGCATCTCGACAATATCTCACATTATTTCTATCCTTGTCAAACGTTCTTCGTAACTTAGAGTAGTTGAAGACGAGAGAATGAAGAAGAGAGGGTGCGAAATGAAAAAAAGATCGAGCGAACATTACACCCATCTGAAATTCAATTATAAATAGATTGAAAGCGATGACGAGAGAGAGAGCGGGAGAGAGAGAGAGAGAGAGATTGAAAGTTTCGAGGGGTTGGGATTCACATTAGAGAGGTTAGTATTTTGTCCTACTTTCCAGCTGTGCATCCAATGAATCACGTGATGTATAGGGCATGTGGAGCCCCACATTTAAAAATGCATCTGATATATCAATCATGCCAGTACAAAAGTGCCTCAACTGGGGCATTAAAATGTGGTCTTAAAAGAAAACAACTCTACAGAAAACACTAAATATACATCTTTTCGAGAAAAAAACGGTGGCCGTATATTTTTCCAAATCTGATTAAACGGTCCATCGTATACCATATGTCATTGTCAGTAGTTACAGTAGGGCACCTCCTACAGAGTAGATAATAAATAGTAAATAATGTAGAGATTTTATACCGCCATATTCTACCTACAAATATTAAGCGGAGTAATACCTCTCCTTGAAGAACCTGACAACTAAACCGGTATTATACTCCAGACGTGGGCAATCAATCTTCAAGGAACAGTCCACCATAGGGGACCCTAGTAATGCTTCTAAATGCACTAGATCAACTGATGAATATTGAAAAGTATTCTGAACCGACATAGACTAACAAGAGGTGAAGTTTCGCCCTACTTGTTATCCAACAATGCTGCCTTTGCATTTCCGCTTGGTTTATTTTCAATATGTTATTGAATCTAAATTTAGCTTCCTCTTTTATGACAAAGATACGGTTGGGGAACAATAATTTAAAAGTAATAAGAGTCCATCAGTACATCACAATATCGCTTTCGATGTACATCGGCCTCTTGCCAAAACCATTTATTATAAAAATACGTTTCCTGTTGATTTGATTAGAAACTGGTATCTTGTTTACTCATTATGAACAGTGGCGGATTCAAGGAGGGGACACAACTGACCCAGGCCTCGTTATAGATACCTCATTATCATACCTTAAACAGACGATAGAATTGCCCCCTGAATTGGGTATTATTTCAGAATCGTGTCCCCTCGCCCCTCTTTACCAAATCCTGAGTCAGCTCTGAATGGCGAAAGGCGCTCATTCTAACACTTGTACAGAGAGGCATATCCGACATTGGTCAAGGGAAAGGGCGGAATTCCCATCAAGGTATGCACTTGAGCAAGCAGCCTTTTTTTGGGGGGGGGAGGGGGCATGGGAGGGGGAAGGGGGAGGGGAGTAGGAGGAGGGGAAAGGGGCTTTAATCGAGCTTCCTCGTCCTCCCCTCTGATCTATAAGCCTACGGAAAAAACGAAATTGGTCCACCCCATGTCAGTTCAGATATTATGGTGCTGTCACAACGACAGGTATATGTCATCAAACATCTGTCCTTCGCAATCATCGTTAATCAATGACCGTTATAAATTATCTTTGTGACCACTTTCCCTTGAATAATAACTTCATAAGGACATCGTCTCTGTCGGCCTTTCATTCGTGTAAGTATTTATAAAAGAGGCTTTCCGTCTCTTTTTAACATGTGATGCAATATCGATCCGATATAGGCTACCAAGTATATGACGAGATGTTTACGAGAAAAGTAGGACTATTCCATTTTTTAATGTAATTTCATTGCCTTCTTTCTGTTCCGTTCTCCCCCCTTTCGCTTTTTCACATATTTACTCTTGTTTCCGTTCTCTCTCTCTCTCTCTCTCTCTCTCTCTCTCTCTCTCTCTCTCTATATATATATATATATATATATCTCTCTCTCTCTCCTTCTCTATATCTCTCCTTTCGATCTTTCTTTCCCCTTTCTCAGACGACGCTCTCCACCCCCTCTCTCCCTCCCTGTCACAATCAGCATCCCCGCCCGCTTTCACACAGCCTTGAAAAACTTCGAAAACAATGACATATCAATACACATAGGAATTATGATATTTGCACATTGATATTTATTACAGTACGAATACACATTCGCTGTGTATTATCATGACATAAATGACAAAATAGGATAACAACGAACTTCCTCATAGATACCCTCAAAGTGCATCTCTGTCGGGGTTTTTGGTAACATTTTTTTCTCGTTTTTTGCCCAAACGTAACCAAACAAAATCTTTTCGCAATAAGAGTTTTAACTACAGAGGGAGTACATAAATATAAATAGAGAAGTCAACTGAATTCAAGTCCATTTCAGTTTAAAATGTTCATCTACATACTCGTATCCAACTTCCAGGTACACTGGTATCCATTTTCTTCAGTGTTTCGGCCTCTATAATCATCCATTAATTCATCACAAAGATGATGAAATCGTCATCAACGTCTTTATTCAATGCGAGAAATACGTGGCAAGTAAACAGAACACTGTTCCCAGAAGTGAATTGTTACAATAAATCCAAGGACGAGAGGTACTTAGACCTCACTTTTGTCTGGGCCAAAGAACTGCAAATAAGAGGAGCTGAGTCCTACAAAAACATCTGCATTTTGAGGACCAGCTATTGGACCGGAGCTTAATTAAACACGCTGGCCTGGATGCCTTTCACACATACGGGTCACTAAAGATGGACAAACAACCTGCAAACAACACACCGTTGGTCGAGTAAACAGACCCCTCAGTATAATAACACGTGAATGAATTAAATTTAAACTGACCGCTGTTGGATGTTCTCTATAGAAAGTTATCATCATTAATCATAATAAATAAGTTTAGTACAATCACACATTGACCATAAAATAGTTTACCATTACTTTATCAGTATCGATTTGACCTTAAGTTGGTAGATGGAAGACGATTCTCAAATGACGTCCGAAATACGTCGATATTGCCGCAAAAGTTCTCCGTATCCTCACCAACCCCCAAAAGGTTTGCCGCTATTAATTGAAATCTCCCGTGGTTGGAATACAATTGAATATACGCAGAACTTGGAAGAAAATAGTTTTAAAATAAGCTGCATTCTATACAAGAGTGAATTGTACATAAAATATTTACACTGCTTAGATACAAATGAATGAAGGCACTAAACTCAATTAATACTGGCAGTGATATATTAATAAAAGTTACACACTTCATAAAACTACTGTGTAAAGCTTGATTTTAGAAAGCGAGAGTGCACAATAATTTAGATTTCAAAAGGAAATCAATCAAATCAATATAACTTTCCTTTTTTTTTTTACATCTACCCCCATGGTAGTGGAGGATTCGAAAGCAGGTTGATAGAAGTGTAGATCATATTTTGTTCATCCAAGTAAACTGTTTTAACGTGTTACTAAATGGATTCCATGTAAAACACTGTCGTCTTACACAATCCTTGATTAGCCCAAGAATGTCATGACACTTCAAACTGATTTTTCAAGTCGTGTCCTTAATAGATGTTTCTATCTAAACTGTAAGAAAATGTATTTATCACTGGACCCTTTTCGGTCCTGTGTAGCATAAACGACATAAATAATATCAGAACTTTCTTTAACCTTCTTCAAATCGAATCAACTACGCAACTTTTCCATGCAACCGTATCATGCCACGAGCAAATAGTTACACCATGCAGATGTCTTTCATAATTTATGTAATTGTAGTACCTCTCGCCTTCACCTCGCGCACGTCGTCGTTCATTATCGAAGAACACCGTCTCTGTTGTGAATATACAATTTACAAGAATGTCCTTTCATAGTCTTTGAGGAGCGCCCTCTATGCTTCCCGCGCTCTCACTCTCTGTTTGCACTCTTTCCTGGCCTCTCTCGACTCCAGGTATTTGCAGTTGTCGATGTCTGTGTTGATCTGCAGTTGCCATTCGCAGCATTTGCTGAACATTGACCTTGAGGCTTTGTTGGGGTAGCACTTCTCCACCTTCATCATCAGGGTTTTGTAGGTCACGTCTGAAGCGTGTGGCACGGCATCCTGGAACTTCATCTTGCGACGGTAGACCTGGTTGTTCTTCTTCTCAACCTGGTAAGAGAGAGAGAGAGAGAATGTTTCAAGAATAATATTCAAATTTTCGTTCAGAATGATGTCGTTTGATCGTTTGATACGAACCAAAGACGATCGTAACTTCTGTATATAGATATCATCATCAAACTTGGAGTACATCCATGATATCATAACATAGTGTGGCTACTTTCCGTTTTCTTTGGTAACGATTTCGACATGGCTTTATGCTCCTATCCAATTCTTACACTAAAAATTAGAATACTCAAGATGACATTATCAGCAACCTTTTTTTGTTGGTATTACAACTACGATGTTCTGGCTGCAAAGATGGATAAAATAATACCCAATTTTGATATAGACTGTAACGAAACCCCGACCCCTTTTCTTCTTTATCTCTCTCCGTTTAACATTGTTGGTTGTCTTTGTCTCGTCGTCTTCTTCCAAATTTGCAAATAAAGATGTAGATTACTCCAGGTACAAGGCTATCTAGTAAAGAATCTCTGAGCCCAAGTGCCCCTTCAACCTTAAAAATGACAGAAGTTCTTTCCAATTACCTGCATGAGATCAATTGTGCAGTAGAGACCCTTATCAGCGACCTTCTTGCCGATCTTGCAGCACTTGTGAGGTGTGTACTGTCGGTTGTCTCGTGTGAGCTCATGTTCGGTGATCTGTAGGAAGGTCTCTCGTTCAATGGCTTCTAGGGTCTCAAGGACATCCTGTTGTTGGTCGGCCGGTGAGGGCAGGTCTGCTGAGGTCGGAAGGCCTGGTACCAAGTTGAGAGGCCATGCTCGCTCTGGGGCGACTGAAACGAAAGAAAAGAAATGATATTGGTTAGAGAAAATCTTTGCAAATTATAAAATGATATTAATGATTGGTCAGCTAGCAGCGCGTAATCGGTGATTAGCACTTTCCAATGACCGGTCATTATAATTTTTTTTTTAATCCGTTTTGAATGACCTGCCGATTGATGCGTCTAACCTTTAAAATGTACTATAATGACATTTTAAAAGAATTTTCTCGACTCAAATTTATGAAGGAGGAAAAAAACAACCTTAAAAGGACAAGGACGTCTATTGGTTGATTACTTCACAGCAAACACACCCCCTACCATATGAACTTTTATTGACACGTTTTGCTTCTTCGGTCTAATTATCTGCCTCTCCCTTTGAAAATCACTTCTTTTTCCTTATTCAAAATTATTATTCCCGAGATCATTCGTTTCGGAGGAAACGGCCAATTTCATGGAGGCCTACCCTTGGATGTTTAAGCAACGAATTCCGTTCCCTGGATACATAATTATCGTAATTGCTCTTGTGAACTCGATGTGTTTACTGATATCTTGCACAAGTTTTTCCTTCCCTTTATTGGCATCGTCACACCCCACTCAATTGCCTGACCCTATAACATCACCCTCACGTCCCCCGCTGCGGACCTGGGACGTACGCCCCTGGATGAAAGGTGAAAGGTCGTGCGTGCATGCTGTTTGCCGGTTTAGTTACAAGGTGACTTTGACTTTGACGGAGGAGTTGCTCTCTAAAAGCACTGAACTATATAACGTGAGTAAACACATGCCCCGGATCAGAGAACATCAGAGAATAAAACAATGTGAAACTTCTACAGCATTAACTAAGGAAACAAAACGTAGGGATCACATCAATAACAACTGGTGAAATCATGAAACTGAAGAGCACAGCACGCCTCTAAAGAACTATCGTTGTTATAGACATCAACAGGGGACCGCGACCGGGAAAGAAGAAAATAATGCCTCCCAATCCCCAATATAAATTCCTCTCATTTTAAATCATATGTGGTAGATTAAACACCAAAACTAAAAGGCCAATGCTAAGAGCACTTAATGTACTGAAAACCAAGCATCCTCTAGGACGTGTCGGACGTTTCAGCACATGTTAATCGGAATTGATTTAAACTATTTTATGTTTGAAACAACTATTAAAAACGAACAAATTTGATGAGAACCTTATTGGAAAATACTACAAACCTCACTCCAAACCTTACAGTACAAAAGCATTAAGTCATCTTTACTGTTGGCACCATTACCCATTCATTAATAACAACTTCGCGTGTAAAAAACAAAGTCCATATTTTGCCAATCTTTGATTCAAGTTATGCTCTATTTGGTCACCCTTTTCACGGCCTCGCATACGACACTACAAGACAAATATGTTTCTCATAAATCAGACTACGTCAAAGTAAATAATTCCAAAGTCTATTTATTTCAGATAAAATATCTAGAGAACGCAAGACGTCAGTCAAGCTTGTTTATAAAACCCTTGTACAGATAACTTGTCTGCAACTTATCTGGATATTTACTCTGTAAACGCATTGCACTACGAGACATGGCATCCCAATATGCAGCACATGTCATAACAGTTTTGGTCGCCGTGGATGAAATACGATGAGACAAATAGGACGATATAGATTTGAAGGTCAAAGTGCATTCTTATCAATATTATACTGAAGGACAGAGGACCTATTAGTGCTCTATTTTCAGAGATAGGTCAACTAAAAGAAATTCTGTTTAACAAGATTACATTTGGATAAAACTGAAAGAAATGTAGAAAAGAGGAGAGGGAGAGAGAGGGGGAGGGAGAGGAGCTTACTGGGGGGAGGAATCATTTTCAACGTTCAGCTTTAATGCGATTTAGAATCGACCCCAACATTATCCGAAATGTCGTAAACATATTTGCGATAAGATTAAGAAAGTGTTACAAGTTAAGAGAAAAGTGGGATTCAATGACGATATGAAAAGGTTAGAAGGGGACCGCGATTATAAAGAGCTAGAAAAGGGCTGAGGCGGGCTGCGAGTGAACTTAAGTTCGAAACAAATTAAAAAACATCCTACCGACCCTCAGACCGCGAATCGACCGGCGGTCAAGTCTTAATATTTAGCGGCCCGTGTGGAAAACTCGCTAACCCCCTCATAGCCAATCCACCCTGGCGCCTGGAAGAACGAGGTCGTGTTTTTATTTTTGGCATATCCATGGACTAGGGCCAAGTAACTAAATTGATTTTGAGGTGAGTCCTAAATGTTTCAATAGATTAGTTGTCTTCCATCCCTCGATGACTCATCGATTATGAAGAAGGTCGAGGACTACAGTTTTCGCGCCAAACAATCAGTTATTTATCTCTTTAGCTCGGGACATATCGATTCTTTCCCTCTGACATCCATAGGGATTGGTTTATGTTTCAGAGGTGTCGCGCTCTATTCGAAGAAAATCTATAAATACAATACTTCTTTGCCATTTTAAGAATAAAAGTCAAGCAGAGCGTTCACTTTCACTACAGAGTTTTCTTGGAAGGTCTAAATCGTAAGAAAGGATAAAGGGTAATACAAATACACGGCATGACGTATGTTGTTGATATCTTTGATATACATACTGTGAGGTTTGTGCAATCACAGAATAAACATTAATGAGTACGTCTTTTCTTCGATCTTGGTGTCCTTTATCACTACATAATCAACACATCTGTAATATTTCCCTTCTCTGCTTGGTATTCTTTGCCCCCATTTATGTGGCTTGTCGTATTTTCATATAAAGGTCACAATGTTTTCTTGTATTATGTTAACAAGAACCTTAAGAAATAGTTTGTTTGGCAGTGTAGAGAAGGCAGACAGAATCTTAATCAATCAGGGCTGTAACAGAAAAATCAAGAAGCTTTTAACTACAGGGGAAAGTATCAGTATCCAACCCAACCAACTAATCATCTTCTCCCCAGTACTCATAGCAGGTGCTCCTAGATCAAGCTGCTTTACCGATCTTAGGGTCAAGTTGAGTTGCAAGGCTGATGGATAAAGCTACCCTGGATGGCAAAGGCGGTAGAGCCATAAACCATATGGACAACAGGGCAAGGACTACACCTAACATCCGTGATTGAGGTTTGCCTAGGGACCACATCATCAGAATAATTTAACTTCCTTGTTCGAGTAAATAGTATGGTTAAATTGCCTTTATTTCAACCTTGTATTCACGGAGTCCATAACATGCCATCTGATATTAATTGTACTGTTAAATTAACAATTATGGACGCCATGCGGAATAGGTAAATACTTGTAAGTCGATTCGCATATCTACCGATGCAAACTGAAACTAGATGTATGTCAATGATTGAAGTTTAGATATGAATATAGCTGAAATATACAGACCTACTCACAACGAGGCTAATTACACTATCAATAACATTTTGTGTATGTAATCATCATCCAGACAACAACGGGAGTAGGTCCATGGTAGTACCATGTGAGATAAAGAAAATACACACATCGTAATTACTTTAGCCATGCTTAGACATTTAATGTCGTAATGGTTGGCATGTTACCAGTTTTGTAACTGCTATTTACCCGACCTTTGAGTTTGATTGAGAACGTAAATGATAAACAAAGAGGGGTGTAATTTATAACACTTATCTCTCAAGATTCAAAGTCTAAAACTTTACAAACTTTATCGAACATGCAGGAAGCCGGACGATCATTTTACAATATACGATTACAACACAAGGGGTACAGCACAGACCCTACTTGAGAATAAACCTAACATGTGACATTATAGTATAAACATTGTATTTTCCAATTTCTGATTGTACCATAAATGCAATACATGATATTACACTAATTTACATACTTTGAATAATTACACACGTAACATGTAAAAGGATCCTTACATTTTTAACAGACATTAATTTGAGCATTCTTAAAAGAATTCCACCAGATCAAGAGAACATAAAATGTAAAATATAATAAAATGTGAAAAGTAGAACATTATAGAAAGTTTTTAAAAAACTGTAAAATGTACTAAAAGAGTAGACTTACTTGCTATCGATAAAGAGATGAAAACGAAGACTTCAAGGAGAAGAAGCTGGATCTGGAAGATGTTCATCTTGGAAGATTGGTATCGTCTGAGAAAAGTAAACCTCGAAACAGTGAAGCAGTGAAATAAACACAAGCTGAATATTGCTTTAATTTAAGCGACACACTTTTTTGAGGAACAGTTCCTGAGAATGGCGAAAATCCGTAGATGTTTGAGAGGTAAGGTGTTGTTCAGTGGAGGCTCGGCTAACGAATTTGATAACAACAGATGAGCGACCTGGATATTTATACGTATTTACCATCGCTTTGGGGCTCTCCGGTACAGTCACTTGTTCTGTGGTTTCGCTAGAATAAAAACAAGTTTTGTTTGCCGGGGAAGAAGTCAAGGACCTGCTGTCAATAAAGACTATTCTCACCAACCAGCCAATCACAGCAGCGCGGGAGGGAGTCGGAACGAATGCTAGATTGCTATTGGCGGATGCGGATGTCAATCATCTGTGCGTGTTGAACTGCTCGCGGGGCCTGAGCGTCATAAAGGAGAAAAGGGGCGTGTCACTTTTGTAAAGTTAGCAGGTTGTTTTCCCCAGGGGTGAGGTTCTGAATCTGTCAACAAGTAGAGAACTTCAATATTACAGAGATGAAAACAGTCATGTAGCTGAATTCACGTGTACACTTGTAGCGATTCAATGCAGGTGAAAATGGCGACTAGAAATCGTGTGACCCACGTGGTACTATAGTTGCAGTTTCGTAATCGTCACTCCTTATCGGAGCTGCTGTAAAATATTTGGAGAAAAATTTACCCAGTTACTTTTTCCTGGTCTATGTATCCTATCTTAAATAAAACATGCAGAGGTGTGTCAAAGTAGATTAATATATATAATAAATGCTCTTTACATCATGCCTACATTGTCCATAATTATATACCAAGCACTACACAGGGGAGGAAAGTCAGTATATTTATTTTGTCTGCAAGTTTACATATAGATTGGTTACCATATCGCCCCTCCCTCCACACACACACACGCACACACACGCACACACACCTCACGGTAAAAACTGGCTTCACCTATGACAAACGTCGTATAGCTCCTTTCAAGTTTCATCTCGCGCCGGTAAATTGTCCTAACTGAAAAGCCTAAAATGACGATGGCGAGTGATAAGCTATAGAGAAGAGGTGTGATTATTACCCAGTCTGGAATCATTTAAATCCCTTCTTTTGTTCACGAAATAATCCATAATAACCTGGAGTTAATGATCCAGAGGTTACAGACGCGCTTTAGTCCAATCCTCTACAGTTACAGACAAGCCATGTCGCTTTCATTGTGTTTTATCTTTTATTGGAAGAGCAGACGATTAGAAAGCTATGGAGTCAACCGATAGTAGATCGATATGTGCTATTGAACCTCGGGGTTCTTGGTACCCAAATCAGACATTCTGAGTGGAGATATCTTAACGCAAAACAGGCACCCTTAGTTTTAAAGTGACTCGGTTACATTGTTGAAGGTTGATGTTAAAAATTGCGTAATTTTGGTATAAAATGTTACTTATCATATTCCTTCTACTGTACTAACCCTCTATTAAATGCAACCAAATCCTGACAAAATCTCAAACCACAAAGATATTTATGGTTTTCTTTGAAGGAGTCACTGTGCAACACCCTCTAACAGTAAATTCTCCCAACCATTTTTAAATTTTCCAAACCGTTTTTCCATGAAAATAAGACATAAGACTTTTAAAAATCTTTCAACACTTAAATGTCTGGAATGGTAATAGAGCCAATTGATTGCTTTGTGAGAATTTACATTCACCTAAAATGTAATTAAAGTGTAATAACATAGTTGGGAGAATTAAGGAATCAATCAGATCAGTTTTTCCCAATTTTTATCATTAATAATTGTCTGTTTTCACTCAAACTTTCAGATTATCTTTAATTGTACATCTGGCATTTAAGTCACTACCTTAGCACCCTTTTATCTCATCTGAACAATGTTCCCAAGTCCCTTTAAACACTAGAGTTCGAATAAACTTGAAAGTGATTTGTGGGCCTTCTCATTTTTTTAAATTCCAGTGTAGAAGAGTATCGTAACGTTGCATGAAATAGATTGCTCCTGAAATTGCCCTCATCTTCAAAATATGACTAAAATGATTCAACGTGATTATACAGTCTTGTATGTTTGCAGCGATTTTTTTTTTTTAAATTGCATTTGATTTTCAGCAAGAATTTGGTTCATTTGTTATCGTCTTAATGTGCTCTGAACCTTACAACACATCTTAAAGTGCTACTAACCATTCATTCAAAATAAATTCTAGACGTAGGCCTATGTTCCTTTCGTATATGTAATAATAATGACCAATATTCGACAGTATTTTTAAACACACGCTAAAGTTGATGAAAGTTATTATAATTTGTAATATCACTATAAATTAGGGTATTGTGGCTAACTTGAATGCAGAAGATTTTAAAATAATGGTCCGATAAACTATAATCCAAATACATTGATCATGTTGAACTTTCCTTTCGGTGTCGATCGATCACAGAGGCATCACTTGAACATTATTTTGAAGGGGGAGGGGGGTAATGTCGTACCGTCGGAGTTTACCAATGAAAAGTAACAATTTCCTAAGTAAAAATACAATAAAATAGGATATATCTTGATATTGATAATTTGCTGAAAATTGTGCCATTAAGAAACATGATTGACATGCGACTTCCGTTCCAAACGCTTATGTTGTCGGCCATGTTTGACTAAACGTTTATGCATACATCCAATCGAATGATAAATGCTACCAGTACCTGCTTAATTGAGTCCTTCAAACAAGCAAACAACTCAATCTTTTAAAGATGAAACCAGGCATACAATCACACAATACACGGCTGAAATATAAATCGTTCTCCTCTAAATTGGAAACATAATTATATGAGATATAGATTTTTTGTTCGATTTTCATGTCCATAATTATGGATGTTTCATCTTTCAGAGAGAGAGAGAGAGAGAGAGAGAAAGAGAGATGAAGGGAGTACGATACGTGGAAGAAAAGGGGCACGGAAGAAAAGAAATTAGGAAAGAAAGAGAGAGAGAGAGAGAGAGAGAGAGAGAGGTGGAGAGAGAGAGAGAGAGAGAGATGGATAGAGAGATGAGGAAGGATCGAGGTGATAGATGAGCATGAAAGAGAAAAACGATTACCGGTAGTAAAAGGTTTGTCTTCACTTTTTAGTTCTTTTTTTTATCTGACTCTAAGATGAAGCCAATAATCTCACACCGATTAAAATCTAAGAACATTATGTCAACAAACATGTACGATGTAAAGGTACTACATTTTTGTTGTGTTGTTTACTGCGGTCATTGTATAACCTTTAATCTACTCCCCCGATGGTGGTCATCTCAATTAGTGGTTTTAAAAATAATCTCACACGTACCATCAATATTAAAGATGTATGTTTGATTAAAAGTTTTAGAAAGATTTTACTTTCAAATCTTAGGCTTAGGCCCAAGTGCAAACGCCCCCTTCCTGAAGATTTTCCGGAAATTTAGTTGTTGCGGCTGGTCTATTTGAAATGGGGTTTTAAATCACGGAGTGTGTTCCTAAATGAACTTAATGAAGCCCACAAAATAAACAAATCATCTCGCTTTCATTAAGATCAGTGTGAATACAGAGCTTTCTACACATTAAGAGGGTCCCTGCATAAAATTTGCGATATATTTGCCAATTAGGGATTATAAAAGGGTGGGAGGGGGCCCAACCCCCCAATACAAGACCCATGAATGCAAGATCCTCTACCCCCCCCCCCCCTCCCCCAATATTCTTCCAGAAAGCGCTTGGGTTTACGAGCAGTACGTGCTGAATGTGCCATGTAGATAACAAAAATGATTGGCAGACGACATAAAAGAATTGGGGGAACAAGAGCGGGAAAACATCTGAAGCCAAGCCACAACGTCATTGTGCCGAATGTAGGCTACGTGCAAAACGACTGCCTTTACATTATTATGTAGCACATGTATCACGTAAACATCATTATGTCTACATGAAGTAATTGTCTTCTTAGAACAGAAAGGCTTCATTTGTTTTCTGCGTTTCTTTTCTCTGCATTCATGGGATGATGAAGATGTGCGTCACCTCTTTCTGACACCATGAAAACATAAAACGTGTCCTTTTCTGCCTTGTGATATTCAATAAGAATAATAGGATGGGGGTGCTGGAGGCAGGAGCTCAACTGTTGCGAGGAAGCGGAGCGTCCGATACGGGTGTGGGTGAATATCGTGGGAGGAAGTTTTTGTAATTTTAATGTCGGAAAGGTGTGATACAATATGTGCAACATCAACGGCCCCAAAAATCAGTTTGTCATTAGTATTCATTATTTATTATTATATTCATGATAATCAAAATGAAACAAATTCATCATCAAACGTATTTTAGGAGAGTGTATTTTACACCCCTCCCCAGTGCCCCTCCCCAGAACCTCGCCTACTCACCACCTTTCTCTCTTTCTCCCCCCCCCCTCCCCCTCTCTCTCTCTCTCTCTCTCGCATTCTATCTCTCTCTCTCTCTCTCTCTCTCTCTCTTCTAAGTTAACTTCAATTATAATTTTTCCTGTCAGTATTGGTCACACTTGATCACTGATGGTGAAAAAATAATCTAATGTCATGACCCATTATTGGTTTATGGTTTCCATGATTCTGTAAAAGAGCGACTGATTAACTCACGAGCACTTTGAATTGTTAGGCGGGGAAATTCTTAGTAATATACTGTCATTACAAAACTATTTGAAGTTCTGAGGAAAATGAAACATAAATGAGTCATCCATTGTTTTAGAGCCATTATGTTTAATATTGAATAGTCGCATGATTCTGTAAAACAACGATTGGCGCACTCGAGAACGTTCTTATCTTTGGTCGGGGAATCCCCGTATTCCCACTATCCCATCACAATTCAAAGGTTTGAGAAGAATGAAACGAAACAGAGTGATTCACTTTTTCAAAGAAAGAAAGTCTGAGATATGCTGAATTTCTATGCCATGATCATAACATATGTTTTATCCATGCATGTCAACGTGTAATGTTTTTAGTGCCTTTTGTTTCAATATTTTATTCACATAATTTACCGACGTTTTATAAAAATCATTATTTAATACTTTTTGTCTGATTACTCATGAACCCCTCAACTGTCCCATTGTAGAAATTGTGAAAACGGTTTGCTCCTAGCTACACCTCTCTCCACATTGCACCCCATCACCCCCCCCCCCCCCCGCTCTGGCCTCGCCTTAAAAGAGACTGGGAGTGCCACTGGGGTTCCCTAAATCACGTTCATGAGTGAAATTATTGTCGCACCCCCCCCCCCTCCCT